ATGCTTGGGCCGGTTTGATTCTGGCGGTTAATTTCATCTTCTAGAAGTTTGTGTGCCCAAGTTCTTATGGCAAGATATTACCCTAATGGGAAGCTATAGGATACGGTATTTACCGGCAACGCTTCTTCCTTGTGGCAAGCAATATGTCATGGCCAGGAATTACTGAAAAATGGTTTAGTATGGAGAGTGGGTAATGGTATGATTATACGGATCTAGAGGGATAACTGGATAGCTAGGCCTCATTCTTACAAACTAATTTAATTTCTACTCAAGTGTTAAATGAAAATGGTTCCTGGGATTATGCACTATCAATGAAGTACTTTGTTCTGCTGATGTATCTGAAATATTGAAGATCCGGGTATCACCTAATTCGGGGGATGTGCTGGTTTGGGGCTCGGGGAAGGTCGGACAGTTTTCTGTACAAAGCTCTTATGACCTTCTTTTGAAGAATTTCATAGAGGAAGTGGAATCTCCTCCAGCAGTAACTCCTCAGGGTCGCGTTCATGCTGGAAATTTATTTGGTCAAGTGATGCAGCACCAATAGTACGGAATTTTTCTTGACGCATGGTAATAAACTATTTGCCAACTTGGCAAAAAAAGCATAGAATTTGGCTGGGAACTTATGGTGTTTGCCCATTATGTGCGAGGGAAGTGGAGGACAATTTCCACCCGTTCATGGTATGCCCTCTTGGAGGGCAACTGGTCTAGGTGTATGTTGTTAATGACCTCCTGGGGATCTGGTATGTTTGAAATGGAGTTATACATCATAAACCAGTGCCACCATTCGAGATCCCAGTCCGGTTTCTACAGAGTTACTTGGATTCAATTATTGGGTATAAAACTGAATATAGTGTGCCATCTTGATAAAACTGTAAAAATGGAAAGGGAAGATGGTCATTGCCCTTGATAAAACTGTCAAAATGAATAGTGTGCCATCTTCGGTCGTTGTGTCTGGTTGGCGAGCCCCAGGGCAAAGTTGGTTGAAATTGAATAGTGACAGTTCATATGTGTCGAATGGCGAAGCTGGTGCGGGCATGATTCTCAGGAATGACGCAGGAACTGTGATTTCCTCGGCTTGCAGGAAGCTGTATTCTTGTCAGGATGCTTTACGAGCGGAGGTATGCGCATGTAAGGAGGGACAATCTATTGGTTTAGAGAGGAGTGATCTACCTATCCTCATTGAGATGTACTCGGTCAACGCAGTGAACTTGATCCAAAGCAAGGATATTAACAGATCAGTCTATGCTCACTTAGTTCAAGAGATTAAACATCCTAGAAGATTGCGCAATTCTTGTATTTCTCACATTTCACATTCTCAGAATAGAGCCGGTGATAGGTTGGCTTCTTTTGCTAGAATTCATGATAGAATAATGACCTGGATTGGGTCTGGGCCAGTGGAGGTCCTTGAGTTAGTCAGAGATGATTGTAAAATTACTGCGATTGAGTAATGCAAGTGTTATTCCCGCAAAAAATAGTTCCATCATATTAGTATAGAACCGTCATATTTGGCACACGCGTGGTGGATAGTAAAACTACCACACCACCGATTCTTATAGATAACTGACGCATATAGAAGGCCTCATTCCGCTCGATCGAACGAGCGTTTGAACTCGGCTCGATCGTAGGAGGCTTCTTTTGCTAGAATTCATGATAGAATAATGACCTGGATTGGGTCTGGGCCAGTGGAGGTCCTTGAGTTAGTCAGAGATGATTGTAAAATTACTGCGATTGAGTAATGCAAGTGTTATTCCCGCAAAAAATAGTTCCATCATATTAGTATAGAACCGTCATATTTGGCACACGTGTGGTGGATAGCAAAACTACCACACCACCGATTCTTATAGATAACTGACGCATATAGAAGGCCTCATTCCGCTCGATCGAACGAGCGTTTGAACTCGGCTCGATCGTAGGAGGCTTCCATCAATTTTTTTCCTCCCGATTTTTATTTTCAAAACATTATTTTTCTCTCCCGGTTTTATGCTAGCTAATTTAGGTGGAAGAAAAAGAAATAATAAAGTGCTTAAAAGAGGACTTGAACTTAGGTCTAATGCGTGCCCACTATGACTAATAACCAACTCACCCATCTTAAGTTGTTGTCCATAGTATGCAAACAACGAAATTTGAACCCTTCTTCTTTCTACCTTGTCAACGAAAAGCTTAATTTTAGGCTTGATAACTTTGGCCGAGCAGCATGATAACTATGACATGTGCATGCTGATAACTTCAAACATTAACACCCCTGGTTAAAAAATGACATGATAAAGCTGGTAACTATATCATGAGAAGGTCGGCAACTACAGCGTGAAAATCACAGTAACTTTAACATGTGCAACATCGTAATTTTGCACAAAGTTTAAAGTGCGCGCCGGGGGGGGGGGGTATGTTTGAACAACACCCTTCCCCTTCGTGAAAGTTACCACGGCGTTTTGAGTGTATGTTATGGTTTTCAAAAGAAGCCTGATAGCATAAAAAAGAGGACAAAAAAACATGAAGTTTTGACATACTACATCCCATGTTTCAAATTACCGCGATGTTTATATAGTAATCAAGTTTCACTACGTCTATTATCATGCAATTTTCACATAAGTTACTAGGGTAAATTTTCCAATAATTTTTTCTCATAGGTCAAAAATTAATGTTGTGTTTCCCCGAAAAAATTATCACGGTGTTTGTACATAAGTTATCAGTTCTTCGGTTTGTGTATTAACATGTTATTTGCACACAATTTACCAAGGGTATGTTTTCAACCACCTTTCACCCTTTTGGTCAATGTTACCGTGGTGTTTATACCAAAGTTATCAAATCTGCAGTTCGTATATTATCATGGCACTTACACACAAAGTTATCGAGTGTATTTTTTTCAACAACTTTTGCCCTTCGCAAAAAAAGGTTACCGCGGTGCTTATTCGTATATCACCATGCTATTTTCGCATAAGTTATCAAGGGTGTGTTTTTAAACAACTTTTTCCTGTTTGGTCAATGGAACCACGGTGTTCTGTACGTAAATTATCGAGTATGTGACACATATATTACCGTACTATTTACACATAAATTAGCGAGCATATGTTTTTCAACAAAAAGTTTTCCGAGTCAGAAAGTTATCATCATGTTTTGTATGTAAGTTATCAGTTAAGTGCTGCTTATATTACCACGTTATTTACATAGAGATTACCAGTAGCACATTTGTAATACACCCCTTGGGGTCAAAGTTATTGTGGTGTTTGTATGTATGTTATCAAGTCCACGGAGCGTAAATTATCATCTTATTTACACATAAGTTAACGTGGTTATGTTTTTCAACCACTTTTTTCCTCGGGTCAAAATTACCATGATGTTTGCGGATAAAATTATCAGGTCTGCGGGGTATGTTTCTAATAACTTTTTTCCCTGGTTCAAAATTATCATGTCTACAGTGCATATTATTACCGTGCTATTTGCATAGAGTTACCGGGGTTTGTTTTCAATAATAATTTTCTATGTCAAATTTATCATGATGTTTGTACGTAAATTATCAAATCAATTGTATATAAATTATCATGATAGTTACCGGGGTTTGTTTTCAATAATAATTTTTTATGTCAAATTTATCATGGTGTTTGTATGTAAATTATCAGATCAATTGTACATAAATTATCATGATATTTACATAGAAGTTACCGAGGGTATATTTCTACATCAATCTTTCTTCGGTCAAAGTGAGCATGATATTTATACGTAAATCATTAGGTCTTAAAATGTAGTACAAATGATGCACCAATGAAGCTAAAAAACCCACAGAACATGTTTTCTTTTGCCTAACATTAAGTTTTCCTAACTGGGCCTCTACCCAGCATTGGGCCCAGCCCAACTCTTTTCTCTCTTTAAAGCCCACAGAAAATGTTGTCTTCAACCTTCAACCAACCAAACCTGTATCTAAAAACTGAAAACTGAAAACAGACACAAAGAACTCCCAATTATCCATCATACTTGTTGATTTAGGCTACGAATCACGTGGACTTCAACATGAAAGTCGTAGATCTCTTCATTGCGAATCCATTTTAGTTGAGCACACAACTTATTGTTCAAAGATGAAGGAGATCGATGCAAAGTGTCCTATCTTGAAGTCGGCGCTCGCCGGAGCCTATGGCGAGTGTTGGCCGTGGAAGGAGCTGTCGCCGGAGCAGCAGGCTATGGCGGCGACTTGAGGAGGCGCTGGTGCTCGAGGGGTGCGTGCTCGCGGCGCCATGCCTGGGCACTCGGGTGAAGGAGTCGTGAACGAAGATGCAGATCGAGCGGTTGCTAGATCTGACGGCGCTGGATGCGGTAGATCGTTTTGCAATCTGCCACACGGTTGCCAGATACATATTTCGATTAGTATAACATAACCAACAAATCAAGGGGTCAAGAACGCAATGTACATGGCACGATGGAAGCTCACGCTCACATGCACCGACGCTGACGTATGTACAATGCGGTCGATCGGGCAGAGTTAACCTATACCAAGGGTTCATTCGCTACGATTTGCGCTGATCTACTTCTAGTGGACGTGGAAGACCAAGGGCCTCTCGTTCTGCGCGTTGCACTGACCAGGGAATTAGCTGAAGGACGTGGACAGCAAGCTGTCCAGGAAGTCCCAGTCGATGCCGCCCGCCGCCTGTCCCTGTCCCTGCTGCCGGACGTTGTAGCCGGCGTCGTCGCAACCGGCAACGGCGGTGGTGGTCGGCGGGCTCTCGATTAGCTGTGGGATGTTGCTGAAGAGACTCTGCTTCGACTCCAGCAGGTCGTCACAGGAGTAATGGGCGCCCTGGCCGGGGAAGCCGAAGCGTCCGGCTCCGGCAGCGTCGGCCGTGCTCTGCAGGAAATGGAGGTGGCCGCCGCCTTGGCCGTGCAACCATGGCTGTGCGTTGTAGTAGCTCCCGAGGCCCGGAGCGGCGTTGTATGCCGGGAAGATGTAAGAATGCCTCTGGTTCGGGGTGGGCTTCTGGAACGCCCGGCACACCACCCAACCACCATCATCATCAGCGCCAAATTGTCAACAAGAAAACGAAGAACTGATCAGGAAAAGATGAACTGACCTGTGTGGGCGCGTGCTCGCTGGTCTGGAGACGGTACTCGTGGATGATCCAGTCCGTCTTTCTACCATTGGGAGCGCGGCCCCTGTAAAACACAAGCGTCTTCCTCATGCCGATGACCCCTCGGCTCCTCGACGATGTCACCGGCTTGTCGCAGCCCGTGGCCTTCCAGAACCCGGCCTCCGTGGCGCGGTTGGTGCGCGTGCCGCTCGGGTACTTGCGGTCCTTGAAGCTGAAGAAGTACCACTCCGACAACGACTGCTCCTCCTCCGCCGCCTGACGCGCTCCTCCCCTGCCGCGGCCGCACCTCTCTACACCACCGACAATTGCACGACTCGATAGAACACCGTGTATGCACAAATTACAAGATTAGCTTCCAAAATTAGATACATTTGTGGGGTACCTTGCAGGTTCCATGGCTCAATCCGGTAGAGATCAACCTCCTGGATGATGTCGAGGTCGATCTTCTGGGCGGCCACCTTCCTGGTCAGGTAGTACCCCACCAGCTCCTCTGTTGGGTGGAACCTGAACCCAGGGGGGACACACGACTCCTCTTGATGTTGCTGGTCCATTGCTAGCTCTCTTGTGAACTGAAGTCAAGCACACAAACTTTCCAACATACTGCTAGGAGTAGAAGCTAGCTGCGTGCAGAGAGGCGAAACAATGGTGCTAACCAATACGGGGATCGATCGATCATGTATATATGTATGCGTGTGGACCAAACAAGACGGAGAAGAAGATCTGTAAGGATATCTAGAGATCTAGAGATTCATCATGGCTGCTAGCTGCACTCGTGCAACACTGCAATGAGAGGTGGTCACCCACCGACACTTGACAGCAAGCAGAAGAAAGCAGAGCACACGTTCAAATGGCTTGCTATTTATATTGTAATCTAACCCTAGCAGTCTATATAGCCCACATCAAATCTGTCCATCTATTTTCTGAGGACAAAGTACAATTGTAATCTAGGCTGATTGCAAGCACTTGATGGCATGGAATGTGGGTAGTCCAAGACCCGAGGAGCTGATTCGAGGCGAAGGAATTTCCACCGCACGACTCCGCCCCGCTCCCTAGGGTTTCCCCGCCGCCGCCGCCGGCTCCCCCGCGCGGAGCCGCCACGGCGGCGGCCGGAGCCCGCCGGAGCCGCCAGCCCCCTCGTCCCCCGTTCCCCTTCTCCTCCCCCCACCCCTCCTCCTCACCCCCGTACCCCCGCGCCGCCTCCCCGAGCGAGGCGGCCGGGGTCCTGCCTCCGCGCGCCTCCAGCTCCTCCCCGCGCGCATCCCTCCTCCCGCCGCTGTCCGCCTGCGCCGCCGGCCCTCGGCCGCGTGATGCTGGCGGCGGTGGGCTTGCCCTTCCCCGCGCGCGGTCCTCCCCTGCTCGGGCGGTGATGGCCGGCGGCGGTGCGCTTCGGCCGGTGGCGGTCCGGCGTCCTGGTGTGGAGGCCGGCGGTGCTCGCCTTGGTGGTGGTGCCTCTTGGCGGCGGGGTGGTCCGGTGGTGTTGGCCGGCCGGGGGCGCGTCCCTGGTCCAGATCTGGGCCCGTAGGGTTCCCTCTTGGTCCTTGCGGGTCGGCTCCGGCGCGATCGCGACGCTCTCTGTATGGGGAGGCTGGGGAGCGGCTTGGACTGGGACAGCGACGCCGGCGGCATTCCAGCTGCTGCGCGGAGGCGGGAGCTGTCCGGGCCTTTGAGGGCCCGGCCGGGCCTGTGGGGCCACGGCCCCGGTAGGCTCCTGCCATGGCGTCCGATCGGCTACCGTCGTGGACGGTGGAGGTGGGGCCCTCCCGTATGCCGATGGTGCTGTTGCCCTAGTCCCGGCTCCTCTTCTCCGTTGTGCAGACCATCTTCGCGGTGCTATGGTGAGACAGCGTGGGAAGCTTCGTGTTCGTGTTGGCGCAGGGTGGTGGTCGGTCTGGTGGGGAGCTCCGGAGTGCCTGAGGTAGAGGCTGGGATCGGGAGAAATCTTTGTTGGCTTGGCCGACACCGAGGGTGCCGCCGGACCTTCTTGGAGGGCATCGGGGCTACCCTTCCTCTCTCCTCGCCGTGTACCGGGGGAAACCCTTGGCAGCAGCGTCGTCATCGTCGCGTCCCTTCTTGGAGGTGTTGTTGGGTACCGGCACTTCGGAGTCTCGGAGCTTGGTGGGTGATCTCCGGTGGACGCAGCGGTCACGAGGCTTCGTCGTTTTTGTCGATCCGCTGTTATCGGCATTTGTTTCTTTACTTTTTTCTCTTTCCTTTCTTTTGGGCGTGTTTGTGCTGCTTCCGCCCCAGCCCCTATCGTCGGTTGTATCGGTTGGTTGCTTTGTAATACAAAGCGGGGGGAAACCCTTTTTCGCCAATGTGGGTAGTCTAGTATAGCTTGTTTGTAAAGTGGGAATGGAAGAAGATAGAAGAGAAAAGAGGAATGAAAAGGACATGAATGCAAGCATGTATCTTTGAGTGCACTTCAGGATTACTCTCCCCTCCACACGTCCACCACCACCTCTCTCCGTGTAGTTTCTATCATTTTTCTGCGCCGGCCTACTGGCACTGGACACCTACCTACATAACGGTTAGAGACACAAAATTGGGTCTCTGGTCAATTTTGTGGTGGACTAGACGACTGTACTACAGGTTTCTACGTACGGGTCTTGCAGAGACGAATTTCAGGCTCGGCTCAACTGCATCGATGTATATAATTAAGTACCAGCAGAGGAATATGGTTTCGGAGGTACATCGATCCATCGAGCAGGACAATGGTTGCACAGACGAATTTCAACCACAATTCAAACTCAACACGGAGTACGTACCAGCATAAGTCTATGAGGAGTACCAGCAGGAATATGGTGGTCACTTTAGCATGCAAGTGCATATTGTCCCCTTCTCTACCGGTGTAGTAGCATATGCTAGCTATACATGGAAGTACGTACTAGCTAGCTGGTCGTACCACACCACACTGCACTAAAAGTAGCCAGGCTCATCGAGACTCATGAATAGCTAGCGTCGTGTACAGAACTCGCTGGTTGTCCTCGACCAAACAAAATAATGACATGCAAAGTACATAGGACTAGGAGTATATACAAATAGAACCATATTAATCATAGTGTGGGGACTCACCAAACCGTGGAGAAGATGAAGAAGAAGATGCAACTAAGCAGCTGGGAAACGATCGAGGTAGCAGCAGAGGATCACCAGACGGTAGTTCTTGTGAGGCGCTCAATTGCAATTGCAGTAGTACTAAGTAAGAATGAGGTTGGTAGCCAGGGAAGCCTAATTGGAGCCCTACTTATATAACCCAGAAAGCACGCATGTCCCTGGCTGATCACATCCACTAGTCGATTTTTTGCACTGACAGTGACAGGTTAGTGAGAGAGGGCAGGTCGGAGCCGGGATAATCGATCTCTTCTAGTGAAAAGCCCTGGATTGCGCGTGGGGGTGGCTACACGGCTGTCGATTTAGTCAGCTAAGAAGAAGAAGGAGAAGAGTCATGGTCTTTAAGTTAGCTAATTAGCGACCACCCCCACTCACAATTCCAAACTAGTAGAATATTTCAGTTGTCTGTCGATTTGGTCGGCTAGGAAGAAGAATTCATATGATTTAAGTTAGCTAGCTGAGTAGCGACCACCCCCACTCACAAATCCATGCAGTAGCATATTTCGGTTGTCTGTCGCTCTGCATCAGTCATCAGTCCCTTTCAGCTGATCAACTCGCTAGCTAGCTTTACGGCCGCCGTTATATTGGTGTGCAAGAATGACTTACTATCTTCCTGCTGCTTGCAACACACGTTAGCCTAGGCCTATCTCAAGCTCACATTGATCTGGGTGCAGATACAATGAGGAAATGAGGATATACAAATATAGATTCCTTGTGGAAAATCGGTGGGACTTACTGTTGGGCCTGCCACCGGCGAGCGAATCATCCTCGGGCGGTGCGCAGCCAACATTGCCTCTCCATCCTGTCCCACTATCTTTTCTTTTTAGAGGTCATGTCCCGCTGTCTTTATTCAGCACTAGAAATACTATGTATGCGCTGTACTATACCGTATACATGATGGTAGAAGTTGTGAGTTGTCGCTGTCTGGCTTGGTGAATGCAATGCTTCTACTCAATCTCGGATTTACTTGTGACGATTGTGCACATCATGGCATATGCATCCCCCTGGCCGCCCATTTCGTTCTATTGATCAGAACATGTCACTGCATGCTTTGTATCTTATGCATAGATTAGACGGATCAAGACCATGGGCGTATGCAGCTACTGGGATCGAGGCAAGTGGAGGAGACAACATATGATGACTTCGATTGGATGGTCTCGAGCTCCATGGTGAAAACCATAGGTCTGATCCTTGGTTATACCAGACAATGGCGACGTTCTTCGTGCCGTTACCTTGATGAAGGCATTGTTTGGAGTTTACTCGGACTTGATCTTCAGGGTGAAAACCCACGGTCTAACCTCCGTGATTGGATCGGGCGACGGTGGCGCTTGCGCGTCGTTCTCTTCCCGAAGACGTCGCTTTTGGAGAATCTTCATCGTAGTTATCATGCTGTCAAGAGATGGTTGGTGCGGATGGTCATGGGTGTATGTCATCAATCGTTGTTTTCATTGCTTACGGGATTTTTTTCCTTCTTTTGTCTTCGCCTATGCATAGCTTCGGTCTTTAATGACTTTGCTATTTGCCGGCGTGGTACTTTGTGTGCATGTGTTAGTGTTGACTGTGTGCATCTTTGTTATGCAGAAGCTGGGTGTGTACTCACTATAATTGTATCCTTCGATGCTATATCCTGAGTCAATAAAGAACACCCTTTGTCGAAAAAAAGACGGATCCATACAACATATGTTTCAAATTACGTACTCCAGTGACTTGAAAAGGTTCCAGCCTATCTGATTAGTTAATCAATGGGCACCACTAGAAGAGAGTAGTATTTGATGAATAAATTAACAAAGGTTTTGCAGTTTGTCAGGTAACTGAAGTTGCGATTTCATTCAGTCGATTTTCCATGTAGCACTGGGCCTGAAGACGGCGAAAACGGGGTGAGCGCAGCAAGGCGCAGGGACGCCGGCGAGGCCTGGGATGGGAATGACCCATAGCCTGGGATGTCGCAACAGTGGCACCCAAGTGGGAGGGAGTCATGTTAGGAGTAAGCACATTGTGTTAGGAGTCTGGTTGTAACCGAACTGTTGAAGTATAAAACAGTTTCGGAAGTATCGTGTGTGTCTAGTAATCGATTAGATAAAGAGATAGGAGAGTTTAAACCTGCTTATCAGGGTCACGTCGTGTTGGGCAAGTACGTGTGCCGTGTTGGACGTGAATTCATTGTAAACCCCTATATAAAGCAAAGAATAGGAAGGAGGGCGATTGAGCCATCGTTGAATATCTTCTTCTGTAGTTTTTCCTCTTGCGAGTTCTTGTGCAGGTCGTCTACATACAGCAGGAAGCTGATTGATTTGCTCTAACTAGTCATAGGTGATGTGAGGCGTCCCCGGCCGTGGATGGCGGCAGCAGGCGTCCTAGCTGGCGGTGGATCAGTCAAAGGAGGAAGATTTTTGCGGGATGAAGAAGAAACACGTCAGCCATTGGATTTGAAATTGACATGATT